TAGCAAAACCTTATAATCAACTCAATCCCATTGGGAGGATTGCATCATTTGACTATGACAGAATCTTAATTTCACAGCCAATATTTTGCTTTTTAGGTTTATTTGAAGAGCATTCATCAATTATTTGGATCTCAACCCTGACTTCTCCCAAATGTTAATCTTAACATAGGCTACTGACCTGAGAAGATGGTCTTGGGACATCCAGGCTGATCTAATCCTCCATTGGCATAGAAATCAATATGGCCATGTGTTCCTCTAAGGCCAAAGGCTGCCAACGGAAACAAGGTTTGAGTGTGGGTTTGTTAGGCTATGTTTGGAATAGCATACTGTGTAGTTCTATATTAGTATTTTTTTCTATATTAACATTTTCTGTATGCATTTAATAACTGTTTGACCTTAAACATTTGCAAAAGTGTTAAGCTTACAACAAATATTCAATGCATTGATCTGACCTCCCATTTCTAATGTGACAAATGACCCCAGATTTAAAAAAATATATATATTGTCTAATTTAATTGGACTATAATAGATGATATAAACAAATAATAGATCTTTTTTTTAAATTCTTTTGTATATTATCAGCCACAAATGTATTATACTTACAATTCATATCTGTGTGCAGCACATCTACAAACTGGGCATCGGTTGGATCCAAGGCGGTCCTCAGGGGGAACACCGGCAAACATTGGCCCAGCTGGGTCTAGGCCTAGAGTTGACCAGGTGAAACATTTAGTAAATGTAATTTATTAGGCAAGATTAACTTGCTAAAGATGTTACTGCAGGTTTTGTTTCATTGGCTCATATTCCTGAGTCTCACCTGTGATTCTGCCCACTCGTCCTCCCAGCATAGCACCAATGAACCCGGCAACGTGTGCACCTAGGCTGACCCCAATCAGGTGGATGGAGTCAAGAGATGCTCCCTCTTTCTGATTTGAACACAATATTTTCGCCACATTCAATAATTTGGCAGACATTATTGACCAAAGCAATTTCAGACCACTGGCCCTACCTCCATGCTTTCTATCAAGCCCGTGATGTTCACAGCTGTACCCCGTGTGTTGGCTACAGCCGTGAAGTAGTTGAGGTTGGCCGCCCCTCTGTTCCAGTCCACTACCAGGATGTTCATGTCCTTCTGTGCTGCTAATAAGTGCACAATGTGGTTGATCCAGATAGGCGGTGCCCCTGTGGGTCGGTATCCGTGTATGACAAAGGTAGTGGGTCTGGTTACATCAAACAGGGGTTCTTGAGTGAAGTTGTGGTGGGGAAGCTCCTGACCGCACTCGAGGTTTGCGCGAGTGTAGAGCAGCAGACGCACATCCAGATTGGTCCCGATGAAAGACTCATGGAAATCCAGATCGGTGAAGTTGTCACACTCACTGTCCTCACCTAACGACAAAAGGCAATGGCTTACTGGTCTGTGTTTTGCTTGTGAGAAAGAGATAGCGATGTTAAAGGAGTAGTTCACTTTAAAAAAACTTTTGCTGATAATTTACTCACCATGTCATCCAAGATGTCCATGTCTTTCTTTCTTCAGTCGAAAAGAACGATTTTTGATGAAAACATTCCAGGATTTTCTCCATATAACGACTTCATTGGGAACCAAAGGGTTCAAGATCCAAATGAGACTTTCAGTGCAGCTTCAAAGGGCTTTAAACGACACCAGATGATGAATAAGGGTCTTATCTAATGAAACGATCGATCATTTAAAAAAAATGAAAAAGTTTAAGTTTTATAAGCACAAATGCTCGCCTTGCTCTGTTGCGTGATGAGTGTTCGTGGTTCATCAAAATGAACAAATCTTTTTTCGAGTCATGACTCGAAGGGTCCAAGACTCGATGACCCAAATTCATCGTCTGGTGTCGTTTAAAGCCCTTTGAAGCTGCACTAAAAGTCTTCATTTGGACCTTGAACCGTTTGGTTCCCAATGAAGTCCATTATATGGAGAAAATCCTGGAATGTTTTCATCAAAAACCTTCATTTCTTTTTGATTAAAGAAAGAATGACGTGGACATCTTGGATGACATGGGGGTGAGTAAATTATCAGCAAAAGTTTTTTTTTAAAAAAGTGAGCTACTCCTTTATTTACTGAACCAATTAATTGATATAATTTATTATACCTTTTTGTTTCCAGCTAATTTTGTGTTTGGGTTGACAGCACAGCACTGTTGACTAAAACTATTAAAAATTGTTGGAATGGAAACACTGTAAAAAATATTTTCATTATTTGTAATCACTACATTTTTTTCTTTTGTCAAATCAACTAATATTACCTAATATATTTTGAGTTTCTGGTGATTAAATCTTTTTCATTGTATTAACTCGATTTTTCCCTTTCAATTTTAATGCAAATGGTCCAGATAAATTAAGTACATTCTGAGAATAACGTTGCATCCTTTCTTTACATAAGCCATTTGTCTTAATATTCTTAACTATTGCATTAAATTCTATCCACGATTCCATTTGTTTCATCATAAAATCTTAGTTGATCATTTAAACATATTCCCAGTCCCAGCTCCTCTGAAAACTGAATAATAATCCATTTTGTTCTGTACATTTGGAATATTCACAAAAGTCAGTCATCGCTGTTCTTTCCCGAAATTGACTCAGACTGATCCTCAAGTGAAGTAAGCCTGGATTTTAGCGACCCACTTTCTGTTCAATCTTGCTGTGCGCCCACCCTCTCCACTCAACATCAAAGTTTCATGCTTCCATGCATCTTCATCAATCTGCACTTGTAGATCATATGATTTGTCCACCTCATATGTATATAAGGCATGTAACCTCTCGCGTTTTCCTTGCAGATTTCCAACCATAGAGGTCATCCGTGCTCTGTAATTAGCCTGCAAGTAAGTCACAATTGGATCATGCTTCTATAAAAAAGCAGATCATCCCACCTCTCCTTCCACATGTTTCTCTGCCTCCTCCCCTTCCCCCAATAGAAAGATCTGAGATTATTACAGGTGTCAGTCACATGAGCTTTCTGGGGGTTTGTTGTATTTAACTCTCTTTCACACTGATCTGCTATTTCTGCCATGTAGAGTTACTAATACACGTCACTGAAATAACATTGATAAATATAGGCTACAAATGAATCCTCAAGTCCTTGGATTCTGCTGTTTTCTGGTCTTAGACATCAGAAGCATTACAAATTAATCTCTCGCAGACCCCTTGCACTACATTAAGATTGTTGAAGCACAGTTGAATAAAATAAGACTCACAAAATGTTAAATCAATGAAAAACATCCCAGGTTAAATAAGTTTCAACTGAATGTTTTGTAAAAAAAAAAACTTTCTCAAAACTAATTTTCAGACTTCCAAGTCACTGGATCAAACATTTAACCAAATTAAATTGGTGTAATCTATAGTCCAGTCCTGCCTCTTACCTTTACAAAGCATAAAGATGCTCATTAAAGTCAGGAAACTCCACGTTGACATCCTTAACGCAAGATGTGAGAGAGGTAGACTTGAGGACTATCAAGAAGACTAAGAAACAACATTAGAGAAGGTGTATTAAAGAAAAGAGCCCATGGAGGAGGGGCTGTGGGTGGGGCGAAGGAGATTGGATGAAATCACACATGCTGACCCTGTGGTTAGTGTCGCAATGTGGTTAAGTCAGCACTCAGCAGACCAGCTTAGGACTTCCAGAACTTTACAACAATTATTGATGACTAAATTTCCCAAAAAATAACATTTTTGTCATTTACCCACCCATAAAGGTCCGTTCACACTAAAGGCCCATTCACACCAAGAACAATAACTATGAAGATGTTCTTCAAAATATCTCCTTTTTGTGTTCCACACTAAGAAATTCATATAGGTTTGAAATGACATGAGGGCAAAAAAAAATTGTGGGTGAACTATCCTTTTAAATCTTTTTGACACCTCAGTTATATTTTTTTCTCTAAGGTCAGGTTTATTTTGCCCTCCAGTTGTTTTGTTCTGCATCAAATGTCACAATTAGAGGAGTGGTTCTCCTTCCAAACTCTGGTAAAAGGGCCACATCAGCACAGATATTCATAGTACATCAGACACAAGCTGTGGTTTATCAAAATATACCCTGTCACCAACACACACATGTAATTTTCATATTGCACCCATCTAGTTGAGCATCGAGGGCATATAGTTGTGATAGTCCCCAGAGAGAATCAATGATCCAGGGTACATGTACAGTTCCTCTGCTTCCCTGCTGAGTGCCTTAAAACCTTGTTTCCTTCAAAACTATGTCACGCATGAAATTAGAAGCGAGAGCATTATGACAGTGTGTCTTTGGGGTTCAGGGTCAGAACAGAAGCTGTTTTTGTCTATGCGAGGTTGAAACAGATTAGATGGCAGATTACAGTAACTCTACTAAACTGTCCACCCATTCCCGCATCTGATGCAGTCAATCCTATTATGGTGCTCACTGATCAGGGCTCATTGTACCCATTTTTTTCTGCATCGGGCCGACAGATTAACTGTAAATCTTCTCTCATGACAGCCTTAAAGAGTCATACTGTCATGTCATCCCTTTCGAAAAAGAAGTAGATTTCAAGTTCATTTTATGTCGTATAATTAAGTAATGTTCAAGTATATTTTTAAGTATACATTATGTAGTAAGTATACTAATGTCACTATGTACTAGTAAACTTGTAAGTGTACTATTTTAATACCGCTTGGGACTAAATTGGCCCACTTTTAGTACATAAAAGTATATGTTTAAGTGTACTATAAGTGTAACAGTAAGTGCACAACTAGTTCATAATTATGTATCTCATGTGTACTGCAAGTGAATTTCTGGGTATACTAGTAGTTTACTTTTTTACTGTAATACTTATACAAGTATACTTTGAATACTTAATTATACTTTTAAGTATTTCTGGATCAAAAGATTGAGTACAAGAACAGGACAAATATACTTGCTTTTCTCTCAGTATAAGTCAAGTACACTTAAGTGTAATTTGAAGTATATTTCTGAGAAGTACAGGAAAAATAAACTGAAAGTATACTTTCTTATTTTTAGTTTAAAAGAAGTATACTAATGGCACACTTGAATAAACTTCTTCTTCACTGTTTATGCGTGTACTTATGTCTTTAAGATTAACAGGCTACAGGCATATCCAATGAGATTTTTTCTTAGAAGATTACTTTAATACATATAAAATAATGAAAGAAGCTACTGTACGAGAGAATAACTAGTTATAATATTTGATAATAATGTAATACAAAAGAACATTTTGAACAATAACATTTTTATTAGAGAGTATAGGACACATGAAATATTTAAAGTTCAAATCATCAACTATATAAACAGAATGTTTTCCTCTAGAGCAATGAGGGCTTTAAGAGATGTCTGTATAGAGATATATTTATTGATATAATCCGGTCATCTTCTCATGAAATTAGAGATGAGGTCTATAGGAAAAGGAAAGACAATAGTGGAGTTCTTTTCCGTGGCGATCTCAGTCAGTGTCTGCATGTAGCGCAGCTGAAGTGCAGCCGGAGACTCTGACATCACGTCCGCCGCCTCCTTCAGAGCACGCGAGGCTTTCATTTCTCCGTCTGCTGCGATCACCTGTTCAGTATAATACAACATACTTAAATATCATAATTCTCACACACGTTTAATTACTCGGAAATTTCCATTGAGCAAATCCAGTTTGTTTTTCCACTGCGCTTGTGGCATAGTGTGAGGACATAAAGGCTCAGGTTTCTAGTCAACAATATGACACCATTATAGTGTTCACAGAAAGGCAAACACTTCTCTTTACTGGTGTATGGTTGGTGAAATTATTGAAAGAAATGGCAGATAAATAAATAAACAATCTTTGAAAAATGTTCTGTCATGTAGATCATTGATTTGCCTAGGGTATTTAAAATGCTGGATGACAATACAGGTTCCCACATGTTTCCTATCCTTTGGCAATTCAATTATGTAGGTATACATACTGTGTATACAAATATTGCAGATTCTGTGAGCGGTCAGTCTTCACAGATAGCAATAAAATCAGGCTAATAGTGCTTTGCTGGTCAGCTGGTTTTGTTTTGGAATTTGATTGGCTTAAGGAGGTCACAGTTCTAGGCCCACACCCCTGACCGAGCGAGTGTGTGAGGGGCTGCAGGTGTTCATCCGCACATCCAATCAGAGAAAACCGGGTTTCTCCAGACAGACTGAACACAAAGCTGCAAAGCTGATAAGACTAAACTTGGCAGGCTCGGCAGAACAGACAGCAGAGCATGTGTTTGTTTGTGTGTGTGTGAAGCATGTAACAGTCTTTCAGTGCTCAGACACCAACCTTGGCCCGGGCATCTCTGGTGGCCTCTGCTTCAGCTGCCATGGCTCTCTGCAAAGAGGTGGGCAGTTTGACGTCTTTAAGCTCGACCCGTTCCACTTTGATACCCCAGTTCTTGGATGCAGCATACAGCACAGCCTGTCAGGCAAAAAATGACGAAAATATAAGGCATTATATGCTTCTGTCCAGAAGAAATGTTGACTCTGGAGGAAATACCCCTAAGATTCCAAAAGGGGACTATTCAGTTGCCCTAATGCCATATAGAAGAAGCATTTTGGCTCCCCCAAAAAAACCTTTCGGTGAACAGTTCTTAAAAGAACACACTGTAAAAAAAGAATTGAGCTAACTTAAAGGGATACTCCACTTTTTTGGAAATGGGCTCATTTTACCATTCCCCCAGAGTTAAACAGTTGGGTTTTACCGTTTTCGAATGTGTTCAGCCGTTTTTTCTTTATATATTTAGAAGAATATCAGTAACCAGACAGTTTCTGGTCTCATTGACTTCCATAGTATATTTTTGTCCTACTATGGAAGTCAATGAGACCAGAAACTGTCTGGTTACTGATATTCTTCTAAATATAAAAAAAACGGCTGAACACATTCGAAAACGGTAAAACCCAACTGTTTTTAACTCTGGGGGAATGGTAAAATGAGCCTATTTCCCAAAAAAGTGGAGTATCCCTTTAAAAGATCTGTAGCTAATTAGTTGCGTTAAATGAAAAAGTTGAGTGTAGCTGCCTTACTTTTTCAAGTTTGCTTAACTTTTGTTTACAGTGCATTGTTTTCTTAGTGAAGAACATTTTTTATAATCTAAAGAACCCATACTTTCTTTATTAAGAATGGAAAGTTTTCATGCATGTTAAAGGTTCTTCATGGAACCATCAATGCCAAAAACCTTTATTTTTAAGAGTGACCTAAAACAGGGCTACAAGATTCAGAGGTGATTACAAGAAGGTTTCTCTTACCTCCATCTGTTCTGACATATCCTCGCGGTCTTTTAAGATGTCTGTCAAGCTCTTAGTTCCCAGCATGTTTCGTAAAGTAGTCTGTGCAATCATCTGCGTGGCTTGATTAGCATTCTCCACTTTGGTAATGGAGACAGTTGGGTTAAAGATACGATAGTAGACCACCGCATCCACCATGATAGTCACAGAGTCTTTGGTCAGCACCTGAGGAGAAATGTCGAAAATGGAATGCATGTTACATGTACTGATAAAAAAAAGTCGCTGCCTTAAATTTTTACGTACAATCAACTTGGATGTCATTTCAACTTAAAGTACATTAAATTGACTTAAAGAATGAGTTGAATCTTGTATAGGTGAAAATTGCACTGTAAAAAAATATTTTCAAGATTTGTTATCGCAACATTTTTTCTTTTGTCAAATCAACTTAAATAATTTATTTAGTTCAGATAACTTATTATTTTGAGTTTCTGATGATTAAATCAATCTCATTTATTTTCTTAACTCACTTTTTCCAGTTCAATCAACTTAAAGTTTTAAGGCAACCAGGTTACTTAATTTTAATTAAACTAACAATATTTTTTTACAGTTGAAACTTGAACAACTTTCAACTTAAAGTTCAAAATTAGTTAATAATTATTTTGAAAAGTTAAAGCAGTGTAAAAACATATGTAGTCAAAACTTATTGATAATAGCATCTTTTAGTGTAACACCACAATAAAACTCTTCAGATTATATTAAATGCATAATATTGAATAAAATGTTTGCTATTTAGATCATAGGTATTCACTCACCTCTTGAGGAGGGATTTCAAAAGACACTGTCCTCAAGTCAACCTTCCGAAATGTATCCACACATGGAATAATCCAGAACAAACCTTCAAAAATAATCAAGATGAATGAGGCTACTGCTTGTTGCAATGTCACTAAACTATGTTTAACAAATTATTCATGATTTTAATAAAGGTATATAGGCTAATTACTAACCAGGTCCTTTAGCACCGCCAATGAGTCGTCCCAAGCGGAAAATAACTGCTCTTTCATATTCCTGGACAATCTTTTAATAAGATGAAATGCAGATATAGCAATTGAATTGATTTTGTGATTAATATATTTATACAAAATGTTTATTCTTTGATAATAGTAATAATGTGTTTTTTTAATTATCTTACCTTCATACAAAACCACACAGAGACAGGAAAAGTAAGAACGACAAGGAGGAAGGAAAAGAAAGAAAGGAGGTATCCGCAGAACCCAGAGTTCCCGGATTGGTCACCATCTGATTAAACCCAAGGTAAAAGTTAGTCTCACAACGACATTAAAATTATCTGATTAAATATATGATAAAAAAAAAAAAAAGATGAAGAAGAAAAAACTCAGCAAACCTGACTGGACATTTGTATCACTCTCTTCATTTGCTTTAGGTTGAATTTTGTTACAGGACATCTCACTTGGAGAAGACATCATTATAGACATGGTTAGCAGTTTTTGTTTTCTGTAGGACTGTTGAAATGTACTTTGAGTGAGATATTTAAGGTGAATTAAATACACTCTCTTTTTCCATTACCGCCCATTTTCACACACAACATGGAACTTTGCGTGGCATGTTGCTAAGCAACAGAACTGAGCTCATGTTAAACCTGAAAGTCAATTACTCGTTTGCTCATTCTTCCTTCTTTGAGGCCTCATCAAATTTCATCATATATTTTCTCTTTGTTTACACATGCAATGGAAAAATGTTTTGTTTTTCTTCTTGTTCAAATGCAGAGAGTATTTGAATTTGTAAGGCCTAAATTAAGTAATCTTTTATCTCTCTCTATGTATTTATTGTAATATCTTAGCTAATACAATTCAATAATTTATTTTCTAATTAATAGAAAATTAATAGAAAATAAGTAATTTTATTTTCTAAATAATTTTCTAATTCAATGTTCTTTAATGTTCTTTTTTACTTGTTTTCTTAATGTTTTCTTTTGGATATGAGTAAAGACCTGCTGTGAAAAATATTATCCTATTGTGTGCAAAATAATCCAAAACAATAAGATTTTGCAGATTGTAGTATTGTTTCAGGTGCAATTTAAACATGCCATAAATGTTTCCCAAGTTATATTATTAAACTTTTTATCATAACTGAATTAATTAACATCTTCTAACTAATATGTTCTCTTGTTATTATAATTGTGTACCACAAAAAAAAGACATCAACACATTTTTTTACCTCAGAAAGGAAGTTTCAAAGTGGAATTTAAAAGTCAGAGACCACATGAAAATCTGGAATTTAAAATTGTATTATACCTGGAGAAAATGTGAAGGCTTTGCAAAAAGATTTACTCAAATTATTGCGCTGAAAATATTATGTTGAAAACAAAGTAGGCCTATATTAAAATAGTAAAATACTCAATTAAAAGCTTTTTCAGTTGTGTTCTCAAAAATGAAATGGTTTGCACAACAAAATGATTGACAGCTGTGAAACATGCCACGCCCCCAGCTGAAATCGCCGCTGTGATTGGACAATGTGCGCACGCTGCACGCTCCACTGTTTATGCTCCAGACGCGGTTTAATTCAGCACAGAAAACGGGCATTAATTATCACAAAACATGTTAGAGGACATTTAAAACCTGGATTTTGGCGTCAAGGGTTAATAACGTAAATTGTGGGTTACTTTATGTGTTTTCCTCTAAGCTTCTATTGTTCTTGCTGCATGAGACACAGATGCAGTCTTGCAGGATGTCATTTACACGCTGCAAGACGATTTGTTTTCAGACGCCGTAAGCTTTTGTGAAATGAGGTAAGCACAACTTTTATTGATGCTTTTTTTCACAGTACATGAACTTAATGTTCTATGTTTAGTATGTCAAGCAAAGTTCACATTATTGTAACGTGGACCTTTCACAATTAATTAATTTGCAAAGTAAGACATGTAGCCTAATGGTTTGAAGAAAAGATAAATCATTCAGTAGTAGAATTTTTTTTATTGATTTAAGTTTTCCTTTTTCATTTAAGAACAGACCAGTATATCTATCTGTCTAGCCTTCCATATGCTACTAGTCAGTCAGTCACATATAGATCTGTTAATTCTCTTTGCAATTCATGTATATTTCTCCATCGACTAAGATTTTTTTTTTTTTTTTGACACCTGTGTTTTGATATTTCTACTCACAGTGAAAAGGAAGCCTTATCTTTATGAGCCTGTTCAGGTTAAATTGGTAATCTAGTGTAGGTAAGTCTATAACTGGTTAGGTATTCTATAATGCAACCACAGCAGACTTTAACAGTTTTTGTTTTCAGGGTGGTTGTAATGGGTCACAGGGGACCAGGGCATTTGTCTGACCTTATCAAGCTGTATAATGAGGATTCTGTCCACACCCTATGCTCAGTGTTTGAGCGTGAGTGGGAAAAACAACAGAATTACAGTAAGGTAAGGTAACTAAATATTAGGGTGACCAACAGTCCTGTTTTCCCAGGACATGTCCTGTTTTCACGTCCTGTCCTGACGTTTTTTTTTATAAAGTGATGAAAATGTCCTTGTTTTAAAAACTCCTGTAAAAAAAGCTCTACAGCAAAATATTGACGGGCAAACAAGAAGGATGAGGAATAAAAAAACGTATAAAGAGGATGAAAACTAAAGATATACATATATTTTTTAATTTGTTTTTATAAATTTGTAATTTTTTCTAAAAGAAATACCTCCAAATTGAACAGAAATAGCTCTTTGTTCAATTTGGAGGTATTTCTTTTTTTTATTTATTATTTATATATATTATATATATATTTTCTAATACAGAAGAGACATTATTTCAATCATTATTTTTGAAACCTGTCATAATAAAACATGTTGAGTAACCTATCTGATAAGCCTATCTGAATTTGTGTCTTGTAATATAACAATTTTCTATCCATAAAGAGGAGGCATAGCCTACTTTAAATGTTTTGAAATTAATAAGGCATCTTTGAGTAAACTTCGAGTATCATTTGACCAGGCTGAGTGTCCTGGTTTTTGGTAATCAAAATATGGTCACGCTACTAAAAATACACAAGGGTTAGGAACAATCCTCCTGGATGGACTTGTTTTTAATTGTTTAATTTCATTGTGAAAAGCATGTTTTGTATGTGATGTAATGCTAATAATGTTAATATCTATATATATACAGAGGTCAAACCTAGAAGAGGATTCTGGAAGAGAGTTACTGCTCATCTCCAGGAAAGCCAATGGTTACTCTCTCCTTTATGCGATATGGATGACATTTCATCCAGCCTTAGTCAAAGTTGTGCTTCTGAGAGTGTCAACTGATCTTTTTAGCATTTTAGGTCTTCTGACACTCAGGTATGACTATATAAAAATGTGTTTGTGAGTGTGTGTATATGTATTTTTTGTATTATACTTTTTTGGAAAGCTGTTTAAATATGCAAATAGAAATAATCAAATTATATATTCATTAATTTGCATGTCAGAAATCTGAACAATGGATAAAGCCTGTTTCAAAAGTCGTGTTACATTTTGTTGACATATTAAAATCAGAGGGGGTTTTGAGAGAGGGGATTTTGGACGCAAACAGATAAAGTACAATAAAATAATTATATATATATATATATAATCTGGTTATGTACATGTCTTTTAACCTCAGGTGGGTGATCTTGTTCTGTGAGAGGCAGGCTGTGTTTAACTGGGCAGGATACACACATTCTCTGGTGGTTTTGGGAGCAGTTTGCTGCTGTGCCGTTTCTCAGCATCAATTTGACAAACATAGTAGGATAATTACAGCCAATGCACAAGCGGTTCTGGCTTGTGCCCTCTACAGGAAGGTAAAGGTCACTGCCTGTCTCACTTGCTCTATTAATGGTTTTTTTTTTTAATGTTTTATTTAAGTCCTAACAAAACCACTGAAAGTAAGCAGTGCATTTCTACTTTTCTTATATCCTAAAAGGTTTCTCTTCTTCCTCCATGGCTTCTTCCATTTCCCCCTCCTCCTTTACATTGAAGACAGTGTCTTTTTCCCATAGTTCTCAGCGACAATACAACACCACTCAGTGGACGGATGTATTAGGCCAAGTTGAATGTGTACCAGAGCTGGTGGTCACATTGACCTGTCTCTGGTCCTGCCCATTGAGAGTCACTCTCTATCTGTGTTTACTTTGGGGAGAATTGGGCCCTGGCGTGCTGGTGGGGGTGCTATTGCTACTAGTCCTCATCCCTGTCAACTCTGCAGTGGAGCACAAAGCCAAACAGCTTCGGGTTAGTAAGAGCATGCAGGCTGCTCAAGCATTTGCTTGCATAAAGCATGTATAAAAAGAAGACGAGATCTCAATACATTTCTGTCCTCTATGTTTCGTTGCTGATATGTTTCATTATCTTTGTTTGTTGTCCCTCAGAAAACTCAGCAGATCATCAGGAAAAGGAGTGAACAGCTCATCAAGGAAATGTTGCATAACTACCAGGTTTTTTCTATTCCTGATCCTTGCATGTGATCATGTCATATATAGTATTTCTTCTCTTGAATTTGTTTAATTCCCGATCGGGTGATAGGATTTTGGTATTAGAATGGCCTGTGTCATGTATCTGAGAATGATTTGGATTGGAGGAATATTGGAGGAATATTTCTTGCCTTAAGTGCAAAAAGGTCAGATTCAGTTTTTTTCATAAATTATTTTTTTTTTAAAGTCACATGAAATCAAAATTAACCAATCCTATTTTTTATGGAACACTGCATTGCTTAATTAATTAATTCATTCATTAAATTGGACCAATCAGCTGTGAGCTAAGGATAAAGTCACATCACCTGTTTCTACTCCAAATTAAAGGTCACTAAATAGCAAATGATTTTTAAAGACAAAATTGTCTGGCTTTTACACTTATTTAGAATAATAATTTTGTATGATTTAGATATTATTCATGTTATTATTAATCAATCACACTTACAATTTGAATTTCTCAATTATTTTTACGCACTGTTTAAAGGAATAAATATATAAAGGTAATACAAATAACAATAGGGAAGAAAATAGAATTACAATTTCCCTTTCACTCCAGTTTTCAATAAACAATCAAATATGTTTGACGCTAGATATTTGTTAATATTGAAATTATTTTTGTGATTGCACTTGGTCAGTGCTTCAGTATAAAGTTTGTCCAGAAACACAGCATTTTAATGTGTAATTTATTCAGTGCCTGATTAGTAATGATAGAACATTACTTCTTTGTGTGGATGTCTTTAATCATGAAAACATCTATACCTTTTTTGTGTGATCACGTTATATTACAGAAGCTAAAATGTGTCAAATTAAAATTTTTCCTTTCTTTGTATTTCCAGTTAGCAAGCTAACAGCTGAGTCTTCTATAGCTTTGCATAGTGCTTAATTTTCGAAAGATTTTTTTCTTAAGAATTAAAAGGTAAAAAAAAAAACTAAACGTATGCGTGGATCAATTGTTTAAAATAATGTGCATTCAGAAAATAGGGTGAATTTTAATTTCATGCCAATTCTGCATTTGTGTAGGCCCTGAAGCTTCTTGCATGGGAGTCTTGGTTCCATCAGAGAGTTACAGAATCACGGGCCAGGGAGCTGGAGGTGCTAAGAATTCTGGGATATTTGACAGCCTTCTCTATGCTCGACTCTATCTGTATGCCTTTCCTGGTGAGTGCTTGATATTTTCCCAGGCTGTTTTTTTTTTTTTTTTTTTTTTTTTTTTTTTGCTAGACTAACCAACATGTTTATTTTCTGGTTCTGCTATTTGTCTTGCTGACTAATCTAGTCAATAAACCTTGCTGGTTCTTGTAGATATTCAACATCCTACCTAAAAATCAGATTTTCACTTTTACTACCGATAAACTACCCTCTCTGTGATACTGACTTCAAATTACATTGTCTCTCTTCTCCAGATGCACAGGGGCTTACTAAGTTAACAAATCCACATAGCTCTGAGATTAAAACTCAAATCATCTATTAAAACTCTATCATAGATTACAACCTTACGTCAGAACATTGAGGTCTGCTCCATGCCCCTCTTTCATCAATGAAAACCTCTGAGTTCTGCTCAGTGTTTTGTTCTAGATATCTCATTTGACCCATATTTCCTACACTCCTTGTCTTTCCATGTAGGTTGGTTTCTCTAGTCTTGGTGTGTTTGTCCTGGTGGATGATGGGAATGTTCTCACACCGTCTCAGATCTTTACATGCCTCTGTTTCTTCAGATTGCTCCGCCCACCTCTGCTGGAGCTCCCTGGGCTCTTGTGTGTTCTCAAGCAGGTAGCATGCATGTGACAACATTAAAACCTTTCATAAAATTCTTTTTAGATTTTTATATTATTGTTCTAATGGATAAGGCACAGCAGTCTCTTTGCCACCTGGAGAAAATATTTCTCACAGAGGACCTGGGCACCTCTCAGTTATTTACTACAAAAGGTAAAGTCATAATATATTACAAGTCGCAGATGCACAAAGCAACTTGTTTTATTATTATAAGTGGAAATGTTTGGCATTGTTGTTAAAACTAAAGTGTCACCCTCTCAGGTGCTACAGAAGACATTCCACCTGACAGCCCTCAACAGCCATGTGATGGGTAAGTTATTTGTATTTTATAATGGAAAATTATTCTATTGAACGTCCTCGTTTAAAAATATCTTTATATTGAAATAATATGAAATATTATTACAATTTGAAATACCTGTTATTGTTTTTTTTTTAATTTAATTTAATTTATTTATGTGACTTCAGTGTCTTATTTTTCTTCAGAAATCATTCTAAAAAGTTGATTTGGTGCTCAAGAAACATTTAAGATATTATCAATGTTGAAAACAGTTATTCTGCGTAATGTCTGTGGGAACCATAATACGTTTCCCCCCAGGATTCTTTAATAAATAAAAGCATTTATTTAAAATGAAAGCCTTTTATAACATTATAAATGTAATTTTCTGGTCAATTTAATGCATCCTTACAGAATGAAAGTATTCATTTCTTAATATAAATTAATTAAAAAAATAATAGTACTGACCCCAAATTTTCCATGTAATATGTATAGAGGATTTTTTAAATTATGTCTTTAAATTATGGCATGTTTGTGTGCATGTAATCTTATCCTCTGCCATTTGATTTGGCAGAGTCCAGAATCTGAGTGCTTTGGGTAAAGCATAGTTTGTGACCTGACCCATAGGCTTTCATTGTCTAGTACTGATCCTGCATTCATATATTAAATTTGTTTAATCCAAGACAAACATCTGTGCATTTAAGAGCATTAGCAGTGCTTCTGATTTTAATATCTTTCTGGTCCCCGAGATAATTTATCATGCTTTTCTTACACTGTGTTCTCAGCACTAGATTGGCCTTGTGTGGTTTAGTCCTGAGGCTTAGTGCAGGTTAAGAAAGGATGATATGCACAGAATCACAGACAGGGATTGTTGGTCACAGGATGATGGCACCTGATAAAACCTCATGGGAAAGAAAACCTCTAGTCAAACTGAACAGGGCCGCCAACATTCCCTTTTTATTCCAGATTAATGAGCTTCTTGTGCCATCATCAACAAGCTACACCTTATTTCTCCACCCAGCCTGTGGTTTTGTTGTGTTCATGCTTGCAATGCAGACTTACCCTTAATACATTGTATAAATATTCTTGATGTTTTGATTTTTACAGGTATAAAGATGAGCTCAGTAATTCTGATGAGAAACGAGATCACTCTCTATTCCAAAAAGTATGTACCAAAAGTGATTGTTTTTATGGTAATTTGAATTTTTTTTTTAATAAATGCATTATCCTTTTTTTTTTTTTTTACTTGATATAATCATTTTATATTTAAAAAAAATCAAAATAAGCTTTGTTGTATTCCTCATTTGTAAGTCATTATAAGTGTCTGTCAAATAAATACAATAAAAATGGTCATTGTTTACTTGTCTACTACATAATGTTTTTATAGCAGTGTCCAAGTGACCATACAATAAAAGCAATATTTTCTTTAAATAATGACTTGATGATACAGTTTATTTTTGAGTGAACTCCTTTTGCTATGAATATTGTGTAGTGATATGGTTTTGTAATTCCAGGGCAGTGGAGAGACCCACAGGGTGTATCTGAGGGCTTTTGGCTGGCACTGGGTGTCAGTTACCTCACTGGTCTACCTGTCTGTGTGTGCTGTTAGTTTAGCACAGGATGCCGTCCTGAGTGTGTGGACGGGTGAAGCCAAAGAAGTTCAAGGCCTGGAGGAGTGGAGAGAGCTCAGAAACTCACGACTGTCTGCGTACGCACTGCTCGGACTCCTGCAAGGTTATTGGCAACCTGTAGTTTCATAGACAAGACAAGAGTTTGTGTTTTTCTTAGCTTATATATGTGCTTTTGTATTGCAGCCTTGCTTGTGTGCTGTGCCGCTTACTGTCTGACCTGCGGTTCTCTCAGGGCTTCTCATACGCTACACTCTGAGCTGCTGTCAGATGTTTTTCACCTCCCTGTACATTCCCAGAAGACAGACGCCAGATGGTCTCTGCAATCATTCACTCAGGTGAGTGTCATCCTCCAGAGGCCGGTGTAGAGCAGAGGTCAAAGCATGCGAATGGGAACTATTGATTCCCACAAGTAGCAGGTCATCACTGTTGTGTCCTTGGGGGAATTATATTATATACTGTAACAGACACAAGTAAATATGATGGAAATCCAACATAGATCTGATTTTATCCCATTTCAACGACACCAAACTAGTCTAATTGTGTTCTCATGTTGGCTCAGGATATGCAGGTGGTTGATGAAGAACTGGCCAAACATTTGCACTGCTGGTTGAGGAGCCTTTTGGACATATTGAGCACCATCACTTTGATCATCTATATCATGCCAGTTTTCAGCCTAGCTGTGTGCCCGCTGATAATGCTCTTCCTCCGTATTCAGGTACGACAATTTCCCATGAATGTTTGACCTGAAGGTTTGTACAGTACATAAACCACTATCTAACCCCCACTCCCCCCTTTTTCCAGTCTAATTTTTCTTCAGATAACTTACGAATCAGACACATTGAGGCAAACCCTGTTGTTTCAGTTACTTCTCTGGAGTGTGTGAAACATTGTGTTGAAGTTCCACTTTCTGGGCCAAAACACAGGGAGGTGTGTCTGACGCACTGCTTCCAAGCCTCACATCAAAACCTGCTGGTCAAGTACAACAAAACCATCACCGAAAGGTTAAAAACATTTTTTTACACACATTTTGTGTATATTGGTGATTTGTGAAGGATACCGAAAGGTCTGTGAGTTAAGAATTAGCTGAGTACAAAATATGTATATAAATGTTAAAAAGCATGTTGAATGAAACCATTTAACGTTGTGTTAAATCATCAACAAGAAATTAACTTATGTTAATGTTAATTTTGATTAACTGTTTTTATTGTCCCACTTCAATTATAAAACTGGTGCTGATGCTGATATATTAGCTTTTTAAACTGTTTTTCTTATTGCCTTTTATTGTCGTTAGTTTAAAAAAAGTCTAAAGATTGTGTTTACATAATTTATTTGAGATATACTGACAATAAACATTTATGTACTGAAAATATTACATATTAGAAATATTTAAATCTCATGCTGAACTTTGTGTATTCTTCTGTGGACAGAAAGAGATTTGTGTTTAAGGTGATCTGCAGTTTTTTTTTTGACCTGCCACCTGAAAAAAATGAGAACTACGCTACACTAGGGGGCGCTATTTGAGTGTAATATCGTTTAAAATGTATCTGTGACTGATTAGCTTATGCAACTGTTTTTGTTTTTTGAGTATGTTATATCGAGCCAATAAAATATTATTGTACATAACATTGTGGAGTAAAACTAAGTTTAAAATGTAAATGTTCTCTACTAAACCTGTCAAATAACTATGTCACATTTATCGCAGCATAAACAGCTTTGATTAATGTGATTGCTTTATGACCAAAGCAATATTTCTGTGTGCAGTTGGGCTGTGTTGCAGTTTGATGGTGTTGCTGGGATTGTGCTGTTCCTGGTCAGTCTGATTCTGCTTGAGACTCAATCTGACTCAGGGCTCGTGGCTCTGGCTTTGATCTGTGCCTTTAATGTAAGTTTATCTATACTGATACCTAATTTGAGTTTGAGTAATTCATAATGATTATGAAAACATTTTGTTACAGATTAAAGAAGCTCTTCGCCGTTACCCTCAGGCCGCCTCTGATATCAACATCGACATGCTGAGCTTGCAAAGATTTTGTGAATTTGCCAAAGTGGAAAAGGAGGTACAGGGTAACGATACTTATTGAACACCTAAAAACTCCTTCCATTGTGTTTGAGCAGTGACACCTTACACATAACCCTACATGGTCAAATTCATAGTTCCCAAAAGGATGACTCTCAATTTTTAGTATCATTGGAAGTCATATCCTCTGCATGGAATTGAATTTAACCAAATGCCTCCTTTTACCCCAGGCAGAATGGACAGTCACCCACAGACCACCCTTTGACTGGCCCCGCCATGGAGAGGTGAAGTTCAGGAACTATGAGTCTGAAGCCTCCTTTAACTGCACACCAGCTCTTAGAGGAATTAATCTCACCATTTTAAAAGGGGAAAAGGTATTCTGAATTTATTTAACTATGTATTATTTCATATGTATTTATGAATAACAAATGCAAATTTTATATTAATAATAGATTTGTTTGTATTTATTATTCATTGTAATAATAATTTAAGATTAGCTGATGGTACATTTAAATCTATTTATTTTATTTGCATACTGAATATATCAGTTTGTAATTCGGGATGTGGCGATCCAATACTCAACATCGGTATTGGGCCTATATGGACCTGGTCGGGTATCAGTAAGAGGCCGATCCAAATTAATTGGTTAAGTTATTTCACGGAAACGAGCTGTCAGTCATCCTTCATCTTCAAACACCGTGTCGTGTTCAGCTATGACAGGCCGCATGGCAAAACTCTCTCCAGAAAGTTCCAATGTTCCCATTATCTGAACACAAAGGTGTTCTTTTGTTTAAAACTACTGTATTTAGCTGGAGTTTATGAGTGATTCTGAATGGTATGGTACTCGCATCTCAAATGAGAGGACTGGAGTAGAGGATATTCTCATAATAACTGAAATTTAATGCAGAAAATGGCTCAGTAAACTGCTAGACAGATGCAGTAGGCTACTCTCAGTGTTGTGCTCACACAGTATATCTTTGCTCTCTTTATATACATGTATGAGTATGTGTGTGTGCACAATTTTCTCTTTATTTATAATATAGGATTGTGTAATTAGTGAGGTATAGATATTATAAACTGATCAAGAAAACCAAATAGGCGTCAAGGTTGTGGGATCGATATCTTTCTCAGATGTGAGAAAGTGATGCCATCCCTATTTTAAATCTCAGGTTGATTTTGTTGTGTTGGCGTGTGTACACAGATTGGAGTTATAAGCCGAAGGAAAGCAGACACCGATAGCTTGGTTAGCTGTCTGTTCCGGACCGTGGAGGCCAGGAGTGGTGCTGTGCTGATTGACAATGTAAACATTACCCGCATGAGGCTACATGACCTTCGGAGCCGTCTGCAAATCATTTCTCAGGTTAGACCAGCAATATTATATTTGCAATGCAATGAATGCATACAAGAGAATGAGAATAAACTAGTTCGATCCAGCCAGAGCAAAATCAGTCAAAGTCTGGAGGGGAAGGAGTGTTGACAGGTAACAGAACTATTTTACTGGGTGTGGTTGAAGGAATGCTGTCGAATATTGTGTATAATGTAAAAGTTGCTTTACCCAGGCTCCACCAGTAATAGTTATTGTAGTTTTTAATGAGTTATGGTGTCCCATGTGTTACAGGTTCCTGTACTGTTCTCAGGACCCCTGAGGGCTAATCTGGACCCGTTCGCTCAGCATACTGACGCGCAGGTGTGGCTGGCCTTGGAGATCTGCCATCTCAAGGAACGTGTTCAACAATTGCCTGCTCAGCTGCTGCACCCTGTTCAAAGAACGTCTCTCACTTTCAGGTGTGTGGGAATCATGGCAAATCTTTAGATGACAATTTTACATGTTTATTTAATATTCAGAGTATAACATCATACCAGAATTGGGTGAATACCATAATTCTATAAATGGTTGTTGTAGTATTAATAGTATATTATTTATTTAATCATAATTATAATATTTAATCCAATCCCCCCCCAAAAAAAAAAAGTTTCACAAAAAATTAAATACTGAATTTAAAATTGTTAATAAAATCTATTTAAAAAAACTTTTAGAAGCTTGCCAGTTGAATATTAAAAATCAAATTCCATTAACTGGAATTTGCAGTTTAACTGAGCTAATTAAATGTTCCCATGATATGTTATAAAGGCTGCTCATTTTTTGAGTAAAAAAAAAATTGCAGTGAGAAAAGATTCACAGTCTGGCTGGACCAATCTTGAGTCCAGATCTAGACTGTGGCTCTGGTTTATTGCTTCATGACACAATATACTGTAGTTTTCTCTATGGCAACCTTTATGCACTGGCACAACAAACAATTGGTTGTTATGAGTTAAATATTTCTGTTTTTTGTGTTATGTAAGCTTTGGCCAGAGGAGGTTACTGTGTTTAGCCAGAGCCTTGCTTGCAAGGGTCAAAATCCTGCTTGTGGAAGAGGCTCTTCCTAGTGTGGACATAGAAACAGAGGGCCTTGTCCGGCAGTTGATCCACACAGCATTTAAAGACTGCACCGTGCTGTGGCTCACTCAGAACCCACTCACCGTCATGCACACTGACAGGTCAGGAGCTACAATCCTTTTTTTAACCTGTGACTCATCTTGTCATTTAAATGTCAAGTATTCATGTAAGGTATTTTTAATCTGTTGTTGTTACTCCATCAGGGTGCTGGTTTTGAATAATGGACAAGCTGTGAAGTTTGACGCCCCTTCCACTGTCTTCCAGCAGGGGCCGCTGTTCAGTCAATAAGATGAGAACTCTTGCTTGATCATTTATAATAGGTAAATAATACAATTATTATTTCATATAATTATAGGTTTCACATACATTTCACATCATACATTAGGTTCCCAAAAGCACAGTTTATTGACTCTAATTAATGTTCCATATGCCTTTGAGCAGAATATACTGAATAAAATGTTTAAATGATATTGTGGAACACAAACAGACTTATTATAGTCAATTGTGGGGTGTTATATTAAATGTATTTAAATATTTTTTTCTTTATATTTTTCTATTTTTTTGTAATGTATTTATTTTGATAATTGAATGTTTGTTTATTTATTACAGCAATATTTGTAGCTTTTTCTGCCACTTAATTAAAACAAATATTTAAGTACACACATAAGCACACAAACATGCCAGTTTACATTGTTTAATGTTAACTTCTGTTTCACGATTCCTTAGATACCTTAGGGCTGTTTTTACTGAATTTTATATGTTTTATTTCCAAATTGGTAATTTATAACTAAATTATATATGACACTTTTGATAGTTTTATGTCAGTGTTTTACAATGCAGTACAATATACAAATGAAAATTAGGTTACGCTTTATTTTAAGGTGTCCGTGTTAGTAATTATATGTATATAGGTACAGAGTAATAATAATTAACCACATGTACTTACTATAGGGTTAGTTTAGGATTAGTTTTTTTTTTTTAGGGTTAGTTGCATGTAATTATGCACAATTTATAGTTGTTATTATAGTAACTACATGTAACGTGTATTAAGGAGACTGTAAAATAAAGTGTTACCGAAAATGAATCCAGCAATATGATAAATAACAAGCAACAGCAGGTCTTCTCGTTTTTTCCTTCTAAGGGCTGTTTGAGGTTATACACAGTGGCTGTTTGAGATGTTTGTTGACACATTCTCCTCGTGTCCATTTCCTTTGCAGTTATTGTCAGTTATTTGTTCATTATGTTGCATTATGGTGCTGGGTTTTTTTCACAACAGTTTTCCACATTGTAACTGCCTCCATATCTTTCTTTTCGTTCTCTGGTCCGGTCAGGCATTTCAGTTGACGGTTGTTTCACCAAGAGTGTAGATTGGCATACATTTTTAGATAATTTTCTTTATAGCATATTACAACCTGTATGGGAATTTCCTGAATAAAATCCAAAACTCAATATATATATATATTTGATGTGGTTTTTATTAATTTTTATGTTCCTGAATGCTGCTCTTTTTAGCAACATCATGATTACAGCAGGTTTTCCCCTGTATTGAGAATTTCATCTTATGTCCACAGTTGTCTTTATCTAAATCTTTTCCAGTTCCTCTGCTTGACATTTAATTATTTAAAAGATGCTTTTATTCAAAGCGACTTACAAATGAGGAGAGCAATCAAGCCAAAAATAGGGCAACAATATACAAGTGCTGTGTCTAGTCCCTGCTGATGAAACTGCAAACTATATTCAGTAAAACTTTTCTTCAATTTTTTTTTATAATTCTAACTCCGGGTCTTCCTTCTTCGTGAATTCCCCTCCACACGTAGTATGTTATGGTAGAAACCTATACATGGGAGCCTGATAAAAATGTTAATATTAAAGAAAAAAGCTCCACAACAAGATGTTATACAACACCAGTGTTGGGAGTAACGCATTACAAAAGTAATACATTACTGTAACATATTACTTTTTGCTGTAACGCAGTAGTGTAAGGCATTACTAATCAATTTTCAGTAATATTTTACTCGTTACATGTTCAGTGAGGCTTGTATTACAGTTGTATTACAGTGTAATGTCTGCTTTTACTTCTTAAAGGTAACAGACTGTGTGAAAGTTTTAAAGCAGTCTTTTAGTGCCAGTTCAGAGCGGTCGCGTCTGTAACATTGTTTTTTCCTCATAAATGCGAACACGAAAACTAAAATAAAATGAATATTTTAAGTTCTATGGAGACTGGAGAGCCAAACCTTCCTCATCCGATTTGTGCAGTGTAATTAACAGAATTACAAAAAAAATATTTTTTGCCTCCTATTTTTTATTTGTCTTGCATGAATGTGTCTTTTCCCTAATTTTGAAAATAAAACATAGACTGATATTTGTCTAATGTCTGGAGTCCTTTAAGTAAGTAGCCTATATACGTTTCAATACATGAATTTTCTGAGAATTTTTATTTCAAGTTTTGACTGCAAATGTCAACATATCCATAATGCTGGACTTCCCCAATTTTAAATAATTTATCCTCAACTAGTTTTGTGGTGTAGGTCTACGTATTTTATAATGTTAACTTCAAATAATACTAATAGCCTAATTTAAAGATAAGGCAGCATTGGATCTGGACGGTAAGGAGAATAACGCTGGAGTTGGAAGAGGTGTGTCGCGATTCTGTAGGTTCGTGGATCTGAGTCGTGTGGCGAATCGCGATTTCGGTTTCATATTGCATTTCGTTACAGCCCAAAAGTTAAGTTCTACTTAGTTATTTTGGTGAAAGTAACTCAAAAGTAATACATGAGTAATGTAACGCATTACAATTCTGGGACAGTAATATTGTAAGGTAATGAATTACTTTTAAATAACAGTAACAAGTAATACCTAATGTATTACAGTTTGGAAGTAACTAGCACAACACTGTACAACATTGAGGTACATTTAGGTATATACACTACATAGTACTGTTCACAGAAACAACATTATTATATCTTAGGTTTAATAAAGAGTTAAGTGGTAATAGAATTGGCAAAGCAAGTGCAATTAGCAGTGACCACCTCTTTTATTCTCTGTTTAAAATCATTTAGAGAGATGAGGGATTGTAGTTTGAGTTTAGTCTGCACATCATTCCAAGACCAAGGGCGATAAAAATGTCCTGTTTAAATAATTTGGAAGTTTTCTAAAATAACCTTGTAAATTAAAATATACCAATGTTCGAGCCTGCGCAAATAAAGAGATGACCATCCTACCAAACTGTACAGTATACAATGACTTGTCCTAAGGTATAGTGGTGAAGAGCTTGTGGTTGTTCTGTTAGCAAACATCAGTGCCTTGAATTTGATGCAATTGGCAACCAGTGCAATTTTATGTGTGATGTGTGCTCTTCAGCTCATTAAAGAAAAAAAATATGGTTCTAGAAGTAAAAACATCCCAAAGTCAGTTATTGCCTCAGCAACAATAACTGGAGCAACTGCTAACTGCATGCACTTGTGAAAATTGGTTGCGACACAAACCTCTCATTTCACTTATAAATAGTCCCACTCAACCGCTTCCAGCCTCCATCTGAACTCCTCTTCAGATAGCAGATATTGACGGTGAATTTGTGAGCAGCAGTGCAGATATGAGGGTGTCTATTGCAGTCTTGTGTCTGATGTGGCTGTCCTCTTGTGAGAGCCGCACACTGGGGCGTTGTGACGTCGTCCGTATCTTCAAGGCAGAGGGACTTGATGGCTTTGAGGGATTGTCTGTTGGCAATTGTGAGTACTTTGTTCCTTATTTTCATTATCAGCAATGTTTGGCATATCTGATTGTATTTTTACTGAGGATTTTTTTTTGTAGATCCAGCTATTGAAAAACCTTCCATAATATTACTTTGGTTTGAACCTTTCACTTAATTTCAATAGATGTGTGCACGGCCTACTGGGAAAGCAGGTTTAAGACCCACAGAGTGCGTTCGGCCGATACCGGGAAAGACTATGGAATCTTCCAGATAAACAGTTTCAAATGGTGTGATGATGGCACTCAGGGTGGAAAGAACTTGTGCAATGTGCCCTGCTCAGGTACTTTTATTTTCTTTAAACGGATTCCATTTGACCTAAAACATATTGATTACAATCAGAAAAGTGGAATGCTTATTATTTTGTAAAACATACAGTGGGGTCTGAAAGTCTAAATTGGGAATTTAAAATGTTATTCATAGCTTTTCTTTGTTCCCAATATTCTAAAATGTAAAAGTAAAAAATGTAAAATATTGCTCCTGTATTAAATATTGTATTTCGCATGGATTTTTCTCGCTTTGACCAACAGAAAGCTGTTTGGTTTGAAAGTGACTTCTGTGTTAGCTGTGCTTAATACATCGCTACTATTGATGAGATGTTTGGAGACTTCACTAATGTGATTAGGCAAAATTTTAAGCTTTAACTTGAATTTATTTTGACACATTTTTTTGATCCCAATGTGTCTGTTTTAAAACTTTAGGATAACATTTTGTAAATAAATGTTTCCCATCTGCTAGATTTGCTTAAGGACGACCTGAAAGCTTCAGTTGAATGTGCAAAGCTCATTGTGAAAATGGATGGACTGAAATCATGGCAAGTATTCATTATAAACATCCTTGGGCACAACTGACAGAGTTTATTTGTCACATTGCTTGTTCCTTTAGAGATTTGGCCTCAAGCTCTGCCTCACATTGTATCATATCTAAGTGTATTGATCTATCGTGCATGTGTGTTTTTGACATGTTTATGTTGATCTTTGTGTTTGCAGGGACACCTGGGAAAGTTACTGTAATGGCCGTAACATGAAACGCTGGGTGAAAGGTTGCGAATAGCACTAATAAGGCCTTGAATGCATGTGGGATCTTTAATTACCTTCAATGATAAGTCATCAGTAATATTTGTATCCTTGATCTTAAAGCATCTTCCCAAATTGTAAAGTTGTGTTTGCGCCTCACTTTTGTCTTAAGCTGATGCAGCAGCAAATTATGACAGATGGTTTGTTTGATATTACTAGATAGTTGTGGTGAGCTTTTATTAAAAATGGAATAATCTGTCTCTGAAAACCCATATTGATTGACCAGTACTCTGAATATTAAACATGCCCCTCTAAATGTCTCTGCCGATTACGTCTCTTACATCCATTTTCAGGTGAATTAAATAAAACAATATGAACTGTGATCCATCCATCATCACAAATATGTAAAACCCCACCTGAGTGCAATTGCATACACTGATTATCATTGCCAAACCCCATTGATTAGTATTTGGCATAACTGATTAGTAATAGCAATGTCTTTGACATTTAGATTTGATTTGGAGCATGCAGGATGCACTGTAAAAAAAAAAAAAAAAACTGAGAAGTATTCCAGTTCTAATAGAGCTGGAGAATAAGATGCTTGTGTTTTGTATCTCTAATAGGCTAAAATCACCCCCCTCTCCAGATGGGAAAGGGTTTGTTTCTTTAATTCTACCCTGTGCCTCCAGACTAGTGATTACAGTCATATCTATAATTACCAGATCCTGAGTGTGTGACGTGAGTTCTCCTGTCGAAGCATAGGACTGATTAGTTTAATTGGCTCCGTAATTAGCAGTGTGCTTTAAAGTCTATGCTGGCACTAATTGCAGACCAGGGTAAATCGCATACAAAGTACCACATCTTTTCGGTGTTAATGCGGTCCAGTTCATTTGTCTTATGTCTGGCTCTAACTCTGCCTGCCAGCTGGACCCCCTGAAAGCTTTCTGATCTCCATGTCTATTTAAATTCATGGCCACAACTGTGTTTCTCTAAAACAAATACAAATGGTGCAATTGCCAGTAGTAATCTGTATATTCAGCTTTGATCTGTGTATCTAAGGTATTTTTTCCTTGAGTGTTTGAGGAGCAGAGATAAGGACGTGAATTCTTTGAATACGATTCCTAATCATATTTAATATCTGCTAATCACATTAAAAGTTGTTTATCGATAAGAACTTACATACAGCTTTTTAAATCTGTGATGAATCACAAAACATCAAGTAACTCAAAAGACTGGTGTTTTTGTTGGCGATTAAGCATTTACTGTATGTGGTACTACAAACAAATAGCATCATTTTAGAGACATAAAAACATACTAAAACATCTTCACAATTAAATATATTTAATCCGTTTGTACACGTCCAATTCCTGTCTCAAAAATATAAAAAGTATTAACAGCACATTTTAAATCCAAACACACAATATTACCCACACTCACAGAAATGCATCTTCCTGTACAGCCAGACGTCTAACCGACTAACTTCTGATATCTGATCCAATATTTCACAATGATGCAAACCAGTTTAATACTTTATAGCGTGGATATTTTCTATATGCAGTGTTGATCAAATATTCTCATGCAAAATACTGCATATAAGTGTCAGCTTAAAGCAGCTTTGTAACAGCATCATACAAAAAATATGTACATTTCTGATAAATTCATGTTTTTTGATAAGCTGCAGAGCAAAACAGTCGCTATTTAAGCCAGTCATTCCAGTAATTTAAGTAACGATCATGTATGTTTTAAAATAAATCTCATCATTATCAAATTATCAGTTGTACACGGGTTATTATGCATGATATTATGGCGTCATAGGCAATGCATCACTGCTTGAGTAATGTTTTAGATTAAATAGGCCTCTAATTTCTTGAATGGCTCACAAAGTTCTTCTGAACCCTTTTGAAGCAGGCTATTTTATGCTCTTTAAGCGATTCATTTCTTTACTGTGTCACTAGCTTCAGTTTGTGTGACACTATTCGCTGTTAGAAGGGACTCTTAATTCCTCTTTTTATGTGGTTCCCACTTGTACTTGCTTTAATTACAGTAATTTAATTGCTCACTGTGTTTGGTGCCAATTAGCATTCACCCTCCCTAAGCAGCCTTCAGTACCCTCAGGTCACGCTATCTGACATGAAACATGAAATGGAGAAGGTCATGGGAGTGAACAGGAAACTATGTGGTTGTAAGAGGCTGAGGACCAGCTCTGAACACAACATTTGTACAGAAGTGCGATACGTTTGTTACTGCTCTTCTGGTGCTGCACATTTGAGCTTGTTTTACTAAATCACACATTAAACTAATAACCGGACGAGCGTGTTGCTGACCAAGCAACATAGTGGACAGAACCAGGAAGCTGCTTGAATCGTAGAGATGAATCTTTAAACCTCCATGCCACTGTCTGTCTTTGGCGTCTTGGAGATCCAGAGAGTTGATTGGTTAACGCTTGTTTTGGTCCGTGGTTTACTGTTTAAAAAATATATATACAATTATGTTTACAATTTATATACTGTGTAACAGGTTTGTGTATATGGCAGTGTCACTTTTCTTTAAAGCTACACTGTGTAACTCTTTTAGTTTATTCTTAACTAAAAACACTTTGTTCTTTCAAAAATATATGAGCTCATTAATGTATATTTACTTCGTTCAAGTAATAAAGTATTCTCGTGAGTGTATAATATGCCATTGAAAATACATACGGGTAAGGGGTTCTAATGTCGGTCGCCATGTTGTCCCTCCATCTTGAAAGTACATTAGCCAAAGAGGGACATACTCGTTAATTCAAGCTTTGCCTTTTGCGTTTACATTTGAGTTAACACTCATGGACGAGGTCGAACTGGAAGCCATGTTAATCTTGGACTACATTGGCCACCGTAGGAGTTAAAACGAAATCGGAATTGAGAGGAACAGAAACTAATATTCACTGGATGGTCATATACATTTTCACCGCTAGATGGGGGTAAAAATCACAGTGTAGCTTTCAAAAAAGGTGAGCTAATAAATAGTTTACTTATTAAAGTATTCACCCAAAATTGTATATTCATTTGCTCATCATGTATGAATATTCCCTAATGTCTGTCCAAACCTTTTCATGCAATCAAATCCAATATTGTCCAATCCATACATGCAATGTCATTGCATGGACAAAAACAATTTTTCAATATATCTTTTGTTTTGCACAGAAGAAATGCATGCAGTTTTGGAATGATATGAGTAAATAATGAAAGAACTTTTAGTTTTGTACTGTAATCTGTTAATATGGGCACCGAATTAAATGTATTGCTTTTCTGTGCATTGTTAAAGTTCAATTTCCCCAATTAAATCTCCCTTTTGGTTTTGTTAGTTTCATAATTTGTTGCTGAGTTTTACTGGCAAACTTATATGTCACCATGCATGGAAGACATTTAAAGGTATTCGCGATGAGTAGACCGAAGCAAACTCCCGATTTTATGCTCCAAGATGGTTTTTAATCACGAGAACAAGTGGCAAACATCGTAAAACAGAGAAGCATCCTCTGCTAAGGACTTAAGACATTTATCCAAAAGCTTTGAACTCGCTCCAGGAAGCCTTTTACTGAATAAAGCGCACTCAGTCATTGCCAGTGATTTAATGCATTGTCTGAGGATCCTCGTCTGCCGAAGTGATTGGAAATATGTTAAAAAGACATCGCTCTGTGGGAGCGTCAGCGTATAAACATAATAAATTACACAAATAAGCCACTATATAATGCCTTGCCAAGCATGGGCCGAGGGTTAAAGGGAGATGAACTGTGTTTCATGATCTGTGTTGAGGGGCTGAGAGCGGAGGACAGGAATGGCTTGCTTCAGCATTTCTGTATACCCTTTCCCTGCCCATCTGGATATTGATAGGAATAAAAGTCAAGTTGGACTCTGTCTCCAACGCAGTGTGATGTAATGCGGCAGGAAAACCCCTCCCCCTTCAAATATACCAAGTCCGTGCTATAATGAGTATGTTGATGATGATTAGTATTGGCTATGGGTTTAGTATGTGTTTTGCCGGGCACAGTTATAAACAGAAGAATCGAATTAATGACTGTAAAAACTCTGAGTTAGGGAAAGAAATAGAGGATGGTGTCAGATTTTGGCTAGTGAGCAGAAAACCTTGATTAATCAAGACACTGACTTCCTGATGTGTCGCAGTATTTGGATGATACTGTGCATAATAGGACAGCGCATTAGCATTAGTCTGACAGCGTTTACAGTGATTTGATCTTAATGGCTCACCTCTTGCTCAACATCTGGAAACAGCACGTCCCTGAAGCCACCAGGATCAGCAAGAGAAGAGGGATGGTGGGGATAATCACATAGATTAGCAGCATACCTGGGAAAGAAAAAAACACACACTTTGATTTCTATTCACATTTAGGCATTTATTTTGAGTTGAAGGAATATTCTGCGTTCAGTACAAGTGAAAATCAATGAACAGCACATAAAAACATTATTTATTATCAGTCAATCAAGTGTTTGGGTTCGGCAAGATTTTTTAAAATGTTTTTAAGTCACCTACCTTGAAGGCTACTTTTATGAAATATTATTACGATTTAAAAAAATAACTGTTTTTGATACATTTTTAAATGTAATTTATTCCTTTGAAGGCAAAGCTGAAACCTGTCACATGAACGATGATTTGGTGATCTTTACTGTCACTTTTGTTCAATGTAATATAACCTTACTAAATTAAATAATATTAAATATAAATAATATAAAAATAAAACATACTCTCCTAAAAAATCTCACCCCAAACTTTTGACCAGTAAATTAATTATTTTGTTAAAATGTGTATTATTTGATATATAAAGTGCATATTACTTTAGAAATTATTAGTAACTATTTTTACACTAAAATCATGCTAAATGCTTACTGTTAAGTCTTCTATTGAAATTGAAATTGGCCCCATTCACTTTCATTGCAAATTACTCGTATAATAGATGAATGACTTTTTTTTAAAGAAAGGACAAGTGGAAATTCTTTTTGTGGTAATCAACATTAGATCACAAATGCTGTTGAAGCTTAACTTGTACTGAACACAAAATAGTATTTTCAGAATTTTAAATCTAATGTTACTTGAGGGCCCTGGCATTATAAGTTGAGGGCTCTCGCCCTGGTCGGCGGGAGGTGTTCTCCTCTCCTCTTGTTCTTCTGTTGAAAGATCTGGAGGGCACATTTACAGATTAGTGTCAACACATCTTTAGATCTTTATGTGAAATGAAGATGGATTTGACACCTGGCTGCTTACCAACATCACGCCCTCCAGGCCTGTCGCTCTGCTCTTTTACCAGGTAGCTTTCTGCTCAGAACAACATAACAAACATTGTCAAAAGTAACCTGATTAACCTGAACTCACTGCTTTACAGTCATCTCAAAATGTTCACAGAGCAAATCACCAAGTACCTGGTTCATACTTGCAGATGAAATTATGCTTCATATTGCACCGGTCATCATTCCACTGGTAGAGATATGGCCCGCCAGGCCCGGCGAGAGCGGTAGGCTGGTGATACATGACCACACAAGCTTCTCCTCCACAGGATGGTTCATCAGCATACCAGTTTCTAGAACACAAGTGCTAATGTTTGACTGTTTTTGAACTCTGTTTTGAACAGGCCCCAGATCAGTCACATCTTACCTGAACTGTGAGACACTTCCATCAGTCCACCTGTACAGGTTGGGGCATGAGGCGAAGCCGCCAGGCTCCTGTACGTTCTCGCCCTCAGCGCGAGTCAGGCCGATCCAGAAGTCTCCGTCTGTGATACCCGACCCGGTGGCAGCACTAGTGGAAGTGGAGATGCTGAGTTCCCGCAGGAGGTGTTCGATGTGCTTCTGCTCTGCCGTGTTCTCAATGCTCAGCAACGAACCGCCGTCCATTTCACATGCGTGCAGAGCCTCCGAGAACGCAACGCGACTCGTCACGTCCCTGAAGTAAGCAATCTTATAGCAAGGGTGCTCAGGACTGCCTTGACATACCGTCTGACCTGAAGACACAAAATCCATGCTGCATTCTAAGAGATTTCTTGTTCTGCATGATTTTCGGGATGGATGGATGGATGGATAGATAGATAGATAGATCAGAGACAAAGAAATCATAAACAAAGCATCTTGCATATAAAACACTTAAGATACACTGATGGGCCAAATGAAGAACTGTGATTAATACACAGACTGTTAAAAGTCTAATAATAACATTAGCTCCCTGCCCGGGAGGTACTTTAAATAATTGCTTGGTCCAGATCTGCAATATCATCAGTTTGAGCCCATAGTAATAGGGCTGGGTTTAACTGGGGGGAAACTAGACTCAGCATTTTCTCAACCAGCTTCCTTAGCTATCTTCCTCAATTCCTGTCTGTGTGGCACAGTTTTCCTCCTTCCAGCATGGAATGTTCTTGCAGTTCCGTTCTCCAAAACTGCCACGTTTTTTACCTTTGTTAAACAACTGATTTTAATTTCCCTTGGTGCATCCTTTTAGTTCACACATGACAAACCTGTTGTTGTTGTTTTTTCCTGTTAATTTGCAGTCTCTACCCATCTCTTTCATTTTCATCTAATATTTTCATTCCATATCTTCATCAAGACTTGACTTTTAGTGAGGTTTTATTGATGGTTGAAATAGAGAATGATGAATGAATGAATTGATAGATAGTTGTATTTGAGTGACTAATTATAACATTTTATATTGTATATTTTGTATTGTAATTCACCTGCTCGGGGACTGCAGATGGAAACTAGCTTAAGCTATATTTGGTGCAAAGCATCTTTAATTAATGTTTTTTGCACATTGTCCCTGTTGAAATAAATAAATAAATGAAACGAAATGAAGAGAGAACAGTTTTCAAAAAAAGCTTAGAGATAAGCTTCAAGAATAATGTTCGAGACAAATCATCTTTGGGCAAGAGAATAATATGAGCTGATCTGTTAGATCATATAATACAATTATAATGTTTTTTTTAAGAATGAACACTTAAATACAGATTAAAAATTATGGCATTTTGAATTTTGTGACAGCCTCTAGAGTTCATTCCACATCTAACAGTTCTTTATGACTACCACACCGAAAATCAGTTTGAGCATTTGTTTCATAGTAATTTGTGTCATAGATTTGTTCAAAATTCCTGAAAGCAATATTTTCAGACTATGTGTGACAATGGCTCTAAAGGGACAGCTCATCCAAAATGAAAATCTTGTGATCATTTACTCAATATTACATTGTTCCTAACCTGTAAGCCTTTCTTTCTTTCTTTTGTGGAATTTCAGTCACCTTTCACTTTCTTTGTATCATTTTTCCATACAGTGAAAATGAATGGTGACCGAGGATGTCATTCTGCCTAACTTCTCCTTTCTGCCAAACAAAAGCCATACAGTTTTGGAACAACATGGGGATGATTAAATTATGACAATATTTTATTTTTTTGGCTAAACGATCCCTTTTAACTTAAATAATTGCGACAGCAAATCCTTTAAGCATCACTTTACCACAAAAAAATCCCTCAATATTGCAATTGTCCTCGCTGACTGATATTCTCGAAATGAATTAGATGGATAAAAAACAGCTTACATAAAGATGAAACTTACCGCTTACAACTCGCGCGCCATGGGTGCACGAGACCAGGAAAGTCAAAGCACAAAGGATACCGAGTTCCGCGCGCATCCTGGCGTCTTTCACTGGACTAAATGATGGAGTGAACTTCACACAGACTTGTTCCAGTCAGGCGCCTTTTTAACGTTTATTGGCAGAGTCTCTTCTTCATAGTGTTCAAAGACATGATTTCCACTGAGCAGGGCTGACACTTTGCAGAGCGCCTCTGAATTTTGGGGAGAGAGAAAGAGAGAGAGAGAGACTCGCGCCTCCACTTGCGAGCGCGCTGCTGCTCCACTTCAATGATGCATGCGCGTGTCTGGCTGGGCTGCGCTAGAGGCAATCGAACAGGGCGCAGATGTTCATCACCTCCTTTGTTTAGCAAAACACTTCTCAGGCGTTCTTGGGTTATAAGGTGGACGATGAGGAAGGCCACAAACAGGTTTAGTGTATAAAAACTGATTTATGCAGCATTGGGTCAATGGTTGAGGTGAAAACACTCTTGAATAATAGCCTGCATTCAATTTAAAGAACCAATAAGACTCAGCCCAATTATTATATGTGATGTATAACATTGTGTAGACAGATTTGTCAGAAAAAGGCTGCAAAAATTAAACAAAAAATGTGACCACTGAGTGCTGCAATTGACCAGTTAGAACCAAGTATTCCAGCTTTTAAATATTAAGTAGTGTACTATAAATTAATAGAATTACCCTTTTAGAATTAAAAAAAAGTCAATATGTATTGACAGAAAATTCACGTAAATAATATATAAACAGACGTAGACTATTTCCTGTCAGACCTGCCATTAACAATACATTGTTCCCATAGGCCAATTAATGTCACGTGACCTCCCCGGAGACGCCATCTTTGATGGCATAAGCAGCTGTGTTTACACAGTTTTACAAGCTAATTTCAAATATTTATTTCTGTTTATAATGTTACGAAAATCTCTATTAACACAAGACAGAGAAAGTTACAATGCGAAATTTCAGTCATAAATGGTGTGGATCCGTATGCGCTAACGAAGGAAGCACTGAGCACTGATTATGCAGCTTTGCCTCAGGTACAGTATTATCATGTGTAACGTTACCATTATTTGGTATTGGTTGCGAGTTTTTACACATGTGAACAATTCTGAGCCTGGAAATCACTGGTAGCGTACAATCAGTTTCCCGAGGATTTGGGTTGGTAAAGTTTGCTCAAGTGTAATCAATGGAAAAGTAGTCATCATAGCGAAGGTATGTAGCATGATGCTAGACTATCTGTCTATTAAAAAGCCATAGCCTGCAAAACTTAATTCCTAAATTTCCCTTAAAACAGTCATCGGTGCTTTCTGTAATATGCTTGTACTTATTTGTACACTGAAGAATAGGGGTGGAACCGTGGAACTGTACATCTATTCGTATTGAACCGAAACGGTACGGGCGTCATGGTTCGGTGCATTAATATACACGGTATAAAAATAAATAAAACTTGTAGAACTACTTTTTATGCGGCTTCTTTAGGGACATAATCTGAGATTGCAATCCTGGAATGTGTGTGAGTGAGTGCGTGAGAGAGAGGTGCGGGCGCGATCGAACAGTGGAAACAATGTTGTTTTTAATCCACAAGTTTCCTACGCCCCATGAGGCCTTGCGTCAAAAGTGGGCGCGACTTCCGGTTGGAAGTAAACAAAGCACGATTTGACATGCTTGACACTCGTTCATTCAACAGTTGACAGTCATTCAAGTTATAGCGATCCAAACTAGCTAACGATGTGGGAACACAACCTCAACGAAATTAAAAAAGGTGAAATAACAGTACCTTTACCCTCCACAGTAGTTGATTGGGAGTATTATAATAACATTATTAATAATCAATACTCATCAAGGCATGGTGACAGACAGTTGTGCGAGCTGACAAACAATTAAAATAAAAAATACACACTTAGTCATTGTGCTTTGGAGTTTATTCAAAATTATAAATGAATGTGCTACTTGAATACATTAACTGGCACATTTGGTATTCTGTGAACACAGGCTTTGATCCTGAGTTTAGGCGCAACATCAGTAGAGAACAGCCAAACACATGCTGATAAAAGTTTATAGAATATTAAGAATTTAAACAAATGTACACAGGAAGATTCGTCGTCTTTTGGGAGGTGATGGAAACTACAGTCGTTGGCAGGAACACTCTGATTTCGTTTTCAGCTTATGTTCAAAACAATCACGTTTAAGCCACTGAACTAGTTTAGTCCGGTTATACATACAACCGCGAACAGCACATGTTGTCCATGAGCTCAGTAACGACATCTCTCATAAAGATTTGCGTCTTTAAATAGTAAAATAATTCTCTGAAAAACAGCTAGCCTCTTCGCTAACTAACACACAAAATACCATTGGAATGCTACTTCCGCCGCCTCACCGGAAGTTTCACCCACTTTATTTTTTACAGGAGCGCCCCTCGGAAACTTGTGGATACCTCGTCATTTTGTTCATACAGCACATCATTCAAACTGCAAAGTGTTAAGTTATATTTGTGTACACTTGCAATAAAACACAACATTGTGCTTTTGTCAAAATGTAAACTATAACTGTCACCCAACAAAAATATCTCTCTCTCTCACACACACACACACACCGTTTAAAAGCAAAAAAAATTCATCCAACCCGTTTATCTTTGCCAGCCATAACCTCCGTCGTTGTTCTGACAAAAGCTTAGTCTTCTCACATTCATGGAGTCCAATGACGGGTATACTATAAAATACAAATTTAACCGAATCGAATGATTTGAACATCCATTGACCCAGCAGGAGATGACCATTTTCACTTTTTATCATGAAATTAACTCTTTTCAGCTACTTCTTCAAATGTTCTGCCCACAGAAATGGCGTTGGGTCAGCAAATATCCCGTATATTGTGACGTCATGTAGGAACTAAGCATATCATCTCTTCTCAGTTGACACCCTTCATCTTAGACTCAGTTATTCATCTCTCTTCACTTTTAAAAAGTTGTTTTCCTCATAAAAAAAAATCACATGGTTTCCCTGACTGCCTGGTTCGGATCCATGAGCTGAATATCCGAGGGAGGATTTTCATATTGTCCTCAAACACGTTTCTCTGTATGATAACTAATTATGTTGTCAAAGCGAGACGTCAGCTCTGTGTGCGGATTGATCTGTTCATCCTGCAGCGTGGAGCCTTGCCGATCCGAAAGCTGTTAACTGAGCTGTAATATGCATCGACGCAAAAATGCTATTACTTAATTTGCTGTTCCCTATCGATTACTTATTTCCCACTGAAAATGCCATTCTGCTCTACCAGTGTTCGATAACTACACTGAGATATTCTGTGACACATTATCGATAAAAAGGCAGCCGTGTTATTATAGGACCCTTGTCAGTGGAGGTATAAGGAGATCTGGCTTGAAGCACCAGCAGCAGAGAAGAGAAAAGAAATGTCAGGCAATCATGAAAAAACAGGGAAGCTGAGTGCACTACCGGCCAGCTTGCAAAAAAAAAAACGTCTTAACTGGGCCAGAGGAATGGGGTAGTGCTGATTTTGCAAGGCCGGACAATGGGCCCAGTCTGCAAGCGCTGCCAGAACATCACATAACTCTCCGCTCTCATCGTCTGCTTCTCACAGTTTCTCCCCCTCGCTGTCTTGTCTTCTTTTCAGATCAAGCATTGAAGTCAAACTGAGTTCATTCTATCAGTGAGCTTAATTGCCCAGAAGTAATCAGCGGCATCCGGTTTAGGGGATGCACTGTTCACATTAAAGGAATGAACTGTGCTTTCCTGCTAAAAGAGGTGGATCCAAAGGGATCGAATGTTATTGCTTTGTGTTGACAGATGCTGCGACCCTTTTTAAGATATTGGCTTTAAATGCATTCACGTTTTTTTGTGACACTTTTATCAATCGGAGACCTCAGTCTGAGACTCTGTCCAATTTTTAAGATGGTGCTGAGTTGGAACTCTATTGGAAATCTGACGAGCAGTCAAATGCTTCAATAGAACACTTGTACTGTTCATTTGTGCCACCTTAGGATGCCCTGACCTGTGAACTTTGACCATCATGAACATATTTTCTCATTATTCTTGAGTATAAACAATGTGTCAATGGGTTATTAAGTCTCAGAGCATATATTCAAGCATTACTCTACCTAATTAAAAGCTTGATTTTAATTGAATGAATAATCCCATGAGTGGATTATTTCTGAGCAATCATAAAATGCAGATTGCTTTAGTGTCTTAAAAAAGAAAAATCCATTGATGATGGTACTGACTTATTCCATCACATTTCCTTCCAAGTTCCCCTCAAATGGAGGTCTCTAAAGAGGACATGAGGGAAAACTTGAGCTGTGAAAAATTACATGTAGGGTAAAAGACACCGTCCCGTCATGGCTCTCCCCACCACTGATGTATAATGGTCCCCTCAAGCCTTCTGGGTAAATGAGAACAAGCTCTTTGTTGATTGGATTAAATTCTACGGTTTGGCGATGTGCGATTACGGGAACATTAAAGAGAGGGAGTGCCTGGTATCCATTTAAGAGTCTCTCTGTTCAGATCTATCTATATGTGCTTCCGTCTCCAATAACTCACGACTAAACTGATAATTGACCCGTATCATCTTTTGCCATTATTCACTTCTGGGATATTGTAAGTGTGAGTTTGCCTTGCCTTGCACAATTATTAGTGCTCTATTATGAACGTTTCACATGAGTTGATTGGGATTGATCAATGGTCCATCCATACCACTGCACAAGCCAATTAATGGCTGTCTCCTAGGGAGAGTCTGGTTGGCCGAGCCGCAATAGATGTAAATGCAATTGATTGACTGTAAGAGTTAGTCTAAGTGATTTGGCCCTCTAAATCGGGCAAGCAGAGTGTTGACTACATCTGAGAGGAGTCTTTCACATCCGTCACAAGAAATGGCTTCTGTTCTTTCATCTTCTAGGTGTTTGTGTGCAAATTGAGGGGGGGAAACAGAGTAGGAAAGGGTATAAGAAAAGTGCTGTAAAATCAGCCAAGGAAAAGTACTTCTTTAACAAGCAAATCTCTTTACAACCCCCCTAAGACCCAAATGCTGCAATCTCTTTCTGCTCTCCTTCATTACTTAAGAGAGGTCATTGACTTCCCCAACAGCCTTCCTGTCTCAAAATGCATTGGCTCTGTGGGCTGACATCAGCTGGTGACTGGGTGCTCGTACCAGAATTAATGTAATCAGTCATTACTTGATGAGCCGGAGGGGCAGCATGTTTGTTGACAGAAAACATGTAAATGCAAAAATGTTTAAAGGTTTGGGATAAATGTTTTCGAAATAGATATTTTATGCTCAAAAAGGCTGAATTTATTTGATTAAAAATACATGTACACTAATATCAGTAATATTGTGAAATATTATTGATATTTAAAATGATTGTTTTCTATTATAATATATTTGAAAATGTAATTTATTCCTGTGATGGCAAAGCTGAATTTTCAGCATCATTACTCCAGTCTTCAGGGTCACATCATTCTAATATGCTGATTTGGTGCTCAAACATTATTTCTTGTTAATATAACAAAAACAGGGTTTT